TTCCAAGAAATAAAATAAATCGTGTAACAATTAGCACAACCTAATGAATAAATTGAGAGTTTTCATATAAATCTGTATTGTTTTTGTTTTTAAGTCACTAATAAACCGTCTCATTTGAATGTGTTTGTCTTAATATTATATTTATCATCTACAAATCATAGTAAAACTTCGATTTTGTTTTAAGGATTTGATGAATGGTGTTCTCTTTTTATTGTCATTAATGTGCAGGGTTATGTTAATAGAAAAATCTATTCATTCTTGAAATATAAATTAATTATTAGAAACTCCCAAAACATTGTATAAACAAACCAGTCAAACTTTGTTTTCGTTATCCGAAATGTAAAGCTAATCTATTAGTATTTTGCTCTAGGGTTAGTGATAACGCATGTATATATAGATATCACAGGCCCCCCGGTAAGTTTTTATGGCTTATAACTAAAATTCGAGGTACATTCCCGGCATTGGGTACATTGTAGATAGTCCATTGCGAAGTTTTGCGCTTTAAGATAACCAACAATCTATGTTACACATTTATCAACAAATCTTTAAATTGGCTAAAGGGAAAAGTATCCTCCATCAAATGGCTCAAATTAGCTTAAATCATTAAATTCATATAAAAATCAAAAACTATTATACTTCATTAATCTTGTCAGCAATATAGACTCTTTGTGCATAATTAACCTTTTCAAGATGACAAATTTGAAGCCGCTGGTTTGATCTTAATCTTAAGATTATTAAGGACTTAAAAACTAGAAAAAGCAATACGTTTCTAAATAATGAAGAGAATCCTATGAATATACAAAAAACAATGGTTATTTTAAAAAACACACTTAGGCATGTGTATGTTCACGGTATTATCCTTCTATACACAAATCAATATCTTTGAGACATAATAAAAAAGGTTAATGATATTGAATACATTCAGTTAAGTGCAATTTTCCGAATCATAGTACATCAATTATCCTATTGAAATCATTATATATTAAGCTGTCAGTGACGTCAGACTTAATTGGTCATTTGTCCACCATTTATTATAATAACATATATATCAAAATTAATGTATTTTAATAAAAGGTTAAAATGTCAGTTATTTAGAATTTTTATAATTCGTTTTATTATAACGAAGGTGTTATTAAAAACTATATTTAGTTGGGTTTTTTATCATAACGCTGTCTTTTGTAGATAATGACAACTGGAAAAATATTGTTTCTTTCTCTCTAATTTTAAATAATAAAGCTTGTAATTAATTCATTTAATCCTAAAAATTTCTGAAATTTTTATAAAGCTTATGCATGGTAATATTAATTTGCTGTTTAAACACGATGTTAAACTAATGAAATTACTAGTTTGCTTGCAATTACAGTTTCTACAAGAATATATTGCCATCTAGTGGATAACGAAACTACTATTAATATTAGACGTTGTAAAATTTGCATTTCTAACCACTTGTTCCTTATTCTAAAATATTGAAACTCTCTAACTATAAATATATGATAAAAAAATTGTATACTTGTATACGCTTATATAAACGGACATTATGGATTGGTATTTTACTGAAAATACATTAATTATAACAAAATATTAAACATTAGCTTTTAATTAAAATCTAACAGTTTGAATGAATTATTTTATTTCTATTTTGTTTTAATGTTATTTTCACTTATTTTACTTTACCAATGGAAAAAAGCTCGATATTGACAATAGGTTGACTAGTCAATCCAAAACTTTCTCAATCTTGTATAGGAAATTGAAAACTTTAAATTTATTGTAGAGACACACTTTTATATCTGTACTTTTTTTATTGTACAAGTGATTAAAGTATCCAAAAGTGGGTTAGCAGAGAATTAATCAACAAATGTCATAACTTGTTGTTTTGTGAAATCGATATATTTCAAACATAAAAAAAGAGCATTTTAGAGATTGCATACTTTCGCCCCGCCCCCCCTTTTCGACATTGCATGTGTTTATATTGGATAACGTCAAATTTCACCATTGAAAATTCCGACAGTCCTTCTCAGATTCAGAATGTTCAACGACCCGGATCATTTTCATTTTTGTAGTGTGATGAAGAGTCAACATTAGCGTGTCCATGAAATTTAGTATATATCTGATCATACTCTACAAAACTGCTAAAATGCTCTATCTTCCCATTATAAAAAATGCTTCAAAGTGATCCAGAATCAGGATCCGGACCAAATTTGAGGACAGTTTCATACTGACTTCTCATCTTGTTTTCGTATACATCGGTTTATTAATTTTCGAGGTACGCGCGCAGAAGCACAGACAGACACACACACACGACACGATAACAATACCCTTTCCCGCCCTCTCCGGGGGCGAGGGTAATAATTGTTAAGCCAAGTAAAATAAAAAAAAACTATTCTTGTATTCTACACACTTATCTCTGTATTCCGCAGCAGAATAGTACACTACTCACAAAAATTAAAAGATAATGAGATTTTGATTTTTTTTTTCGAAATTTGAAGGAGAATAAAAAGCACAGAGAGACATTCAGTACTGACGAAACTTGTTTACTACAAATAGTATAGGTAAACAATACCAAGCAAGTCGAAAATTTCATTTACAAATAACAAAAATGCGAAATTAGCGAAAAAAAATGCCAACATTGGACTACACAAATATCAAAGAAAAACTTATCAAAATGAACAAACTTAACAAAATGAGTCTTTAGTAGGTGATATAAGTCTTCCTTTATTGTTTAGGTCTGGTGTTTTTGGAGTCTACTCGAAATCTGTGGTCTCAGGTTCAAATCCCCATCACATCGAATATGCTCGCCAGGGTGGTATTGACTAGCTGCCTTCCTGTCTATTAGTGCTAAATTGGGGACGGCTAACGCAAGTAGTCCTCGTGTAGCTGTGCGTGAAATTCAAAACAAACCAAACCTTTATTGTTTACGACTTATCTGCACCTGTTCCCCATATTGCTGATGGCATTTCAGATGACTTGCTGGGGCAGCATAGTCCACTCCTGGGTGAGATCAGCTCTGAGGTCCCGGGCAGTTGTAGAAACAGGTTATTTGTCTCTAACTGCTCTCCCTGCCAAGTCCTGCACATACTCAATCGGATTTAGGTTCAGTGAGTTCGCAGGTCAACCCAATACCTTTATTCCTTCACACTTAATAAATTGACATGTTATTCTGGTGGTGTGAGGACGGGTGTTATCCCACTAATACACGAATTGATTTTTAACAGCACCAACAAAATGGCAAGCAACGGGTAGCAGTACCTCATCCATGTAACGTCTTGATGTCAGGGGTCCTCCATTTGCCACATACAGGGCTGTACGCTCCTGCATGCAGATGCCACACCAGACCATGATTGAGCCATCCCCAAAAGTATCATGGTGAACGATATAATAGGCCATTCTTCGCGTCTCCAGGACTTCATACGTCGATCACTTGAAGACATACAGAACCTGCTCTCATCTGTGAACAGTACAGGATCCATTGGTGAAGAGTCCAGGTGACATGTTTCTGAGCAAACGCCAGCCAGGTTGTTTCATGCCTTGTGTTTAGTACGTGGGTGCTGACTAATATTCTTTACCTATTACCAGCCTCATGGAGCAGTTCCTGACCGTTGAGCACGTTACATACTCTCTTGATTTCTAAGGGCTAAATTCCACAGATATCGGTTGTCTGCTACACTTTTAGCCCTTCTGCGACCCTGACCTGATCTCCTGGTGTATTTATTCTCTTGTGTCCTTGTATCTGCACTACAATCTATTGACCAAAGGTTGTAACACCCCATGACCTGTACCACCTCTGGTTGTGGCCTTCCTGAAACAATATGACGGCTCTGCAAAGTCCAGTTTCAGTTACTTGGTTTATAACAGCTTGCACACTCTTTGCAAAAGTCAATACCAACAAGAAAAATTCATAAACCTAACATTATTCAACATTAAACCTCTTTCCTAATCAATCAAAATTAGCCTTTTGATTTATTGAACTTAGGCCATTTCTCATAAAAAGCCTATTACACAAGGAATCATTTATGCATAAACTTGTAAGTCCTAGGTAGGGTTAGTGTAATCCTCTACAATAAGCATGCTAAATTTTAAAACTTCATAATCTACAAATATACAAATTTTAACAAACCTCTGTCCTTTAATATTTGTAAGTAATATAAATTGTATTTATAGTGATATAGTATTACTACCTATATGAGCCGCTATATATAATAACATTGAAATATATAAGACATTCTAAAAACAGACCGATTTTTAACTGGGAAAAACAAAGAAAGTAATTGATTCTAAAAATTCCGAAAAATACACACACTCAAAGGAGTACAGCCTGTTTTATTTATATAATGTTGATGTTGTATTTTTCATGAATAATTGCGCTGACGCGTGTAAGTAATGCTGTAAGCTAGAATGCATAACATAACGTTTTCTCTCTTTTTCTAACAATGTAATAATAGCCAAGGTAATTTTAAACCCTCTCAAAACGAACCAAAAATGCACGTTTTATACGGCCTCAAAGGTTTACCGGCATGGCATGAACAGGTGGTTAGGGCGCTCGACTCGCAATCTGAGGGTCGCGGATTCGAATCCACATCCAACCAAAGATGCTAGCCGTTTTAGCCGCGGGGGTGTTATAATGTGACTATCAATCCTACTATTCATTAGTAAAAGAGTAGCCAAAAGTTGGCGGTGGGTGGTGATGACTAGCTGTCTTCTCTTTAATTTTTCACTGCTAAATTAGGGAGGCTTACTTCTATTTACCATAAATGCTTTACAATAATATCTCGTTTGAGATAATATAAATTAAAAAGAAACCCTCGTTATAAAGCAACTTGTTGTTTCTTCCCAAATTCTTTAAATCATTTGAGGGGGACATATTTGTTTATTAAGTTCTGACATAATCTTGAGTTAAAAATATGGTTTCTTCTAATATCCATCAGAGAGCGTTAGTAAGCATCATTTTTTGAGTCTAAATTTTACGTAGTGGTTCTCATAGAGTGTGATTTTCAATCAAATTCCGAATACAGATATATTACAATGAAGGAAAGGCGATTCTAGATTTCCAATCTAGTCCGATATTATTCACTAAAGGCTTATATACTGTAAGTTTCATTTGTTTCAAATGTCAGTGCTTGTTATTAGGCTTAAAATTTGCGAAATGTTTATTGTACATTCACTCTATTTGACTACTAAAGTCAAAAGTACAATTTACAAATACAATATGACGATGAACTTGAAGTATGACTACTGACTCGTACGTATGACTTTTTGACTGGTTAACCTATTTTAATATATTGGACATGAAACTGTAGGATTTGTGTTCGCGATGCTGATATTTAATTGTTAATTTTGCCTATTACAGGCCTAATTATACTTTATAGAACAAAGAGTTCCATTATTATTTGAATTATTTATTAGGGTCAGGATAGGCCTACCTATATGAGTGTAATTAATGTTATTGTTAGCCTTAAGACGTTAAGTTAATGTTTACGTTTATAAGTAATAGTACTATTAGTAATGAATTAAGGATTTTATTATAAAACAAGCTAAAGATTTTATTTCTGATGGCATTGCAGGAGTTGATATTGATAGTGACTTTATCTTAGTCTTAGTCTTAAATCATAATAAATTGAAAAAGAGGTTTCTGAAAAAAAAAAAAATCCAAAGCGTAAAGTATTACTTAATTTTTCAATGACAGTGTACCATTTGCATGATTTAACTTAAATTTGATTAACAACACCAGCAGACATTTGGAATTACCATAGCCTTTACCATGGATGGCAGTTTGTTTCAGAGATTTATAACCTTTATTGAGGAAATGAAACTGCCTGAACTGGAAATGTGTCAAAATGTAAACTTATGACATCTTATCCTACTGCTTTTCAAGTTCAAAATGAGAAAGTCTGATGCATCAATTTTATTAATTTTAATTCCAAAACATACTTACCTCCACTGACACTATAGCTATTTCTCGATCTCCAGGGTTTCCACTTGCCCATCTAAGCATTGAAAACACTTGCTCCAGTCTTTTATACTTCACTGGAATGTCCTTGGCAAATTCTAATTTTCAAATTTCTCCACCAACTTCAATGTGCCCTCTATCTAGGTACTGTCTATAAGCACCTCATTCAGATAATGTAATCACTTATTCTCAACAAAGCATGTGTTTCTATAAATAAGAATGTTGTGATTATTCACAATTTACGTTGCGTCTTTGAATGTGGTTTGCATTACTACAGTTATATCTTCGTATATTTATAAATTTCTGATGGGTATGAATTCCCAAGTTAATGTTTCTATTATGGAGGCCATTCAGACCTTTCCCCTTCCATCTCTGTGACCTGGTATTTGTTAACGACCAGGGTAGGGGTCACTCTCAGTCGTGTGTTGTGATTATTCACAATTTATGTTGCGACTTTGAATGTGGTTTGCGTTACTACAGTTATATCTTTTTATATTTATAAATTACTGATGGTTATGAATTCTCAAGTTAATGTTTCTATTATGGAGGCCATTCAGACCTTTCCTCTTCCACCTCTGTGACCTGGTATTTGTTAACAACCAGGGGAGGGGTCACTCTCAGTCAAGACTGTCTGTAATATGATCCATTGTGAAATGGACACATATATGCAGACCGAGGGTGTCTTTTTTTCTGGCTCCTTCTTTTACTAGGTCGGCCTCAACAGAAAATCATTTTTATCAGCCACCCCCCAGCCCCTTTTTTTTCAGTTGGTTACTTGGGTTTGGGGGGGGGTCTCCTATTACATTTGACTCTCCCACTTCCTTGTTGGCAGCAAGGACAGCCAGTGACTAATTGGTTTTTTTATTTTGTCCTGATGTTGCTGTTCATGCTGGGAGATTTGCCATTCAGTTACACAATAAGATAGCTATCACTGGTCCCCCATGTTTATCAGAACAGCATGCTTTGGCTTATCACTGCCAGGAGGAGGTATTTATAGATTCTCTATGAATGGTCCCCCTTTTGGACCTGTGGGGGTCTCAATTGAAACCTGTGATCACTTTAAACAGATCACAATTTTCTCAGATTCATCTTACTCTCACGACTGTCCTCAGGTTTTATATCTTTGATCCAACTTTTGTTGGAAGTCTATCAATGTTCCCCTAGACAATTTGAGGACAACTTGAGGATTTTGCTGACATCTACCTCAGTCAGATTATCTTCTTCAGTTCCTTTTCTGGTTTCCTGGCTATTTTGTTGTTTAGATTTATTGGGTAGAGATTTTTGTGTTAAAAAGTGTTTGTTTACCATCTTCTGCCCTCTGTTCCAGGTTGTTTGCTGGAGTTCCAGAGATTCAGTTTGTTTACATTCTTCTTTATCATTATTGACTTTTTGCCTTTCTGGCCCAGATTTGGGAGTGTCGGCTCTTGGTTTTTCTCAACCCCCTCCTTCGGTTCTCAGTTCTAATGCTTCCCATAATAGAGTCCATCCGTATTCTCAAGGATTTTTGGCTCGGACAGACCGTTGACAACAGCGTTGGTATCTATCCAGTGGGACCACATTTACATCACTTTCTGATTGTATGGAATTCTTTCACCAGGGATCCATGGGTAATTTTAGATCCTCCTCAATTTACTATGGAATCTTTCCTTAACATACGATGGCACTCAGATGGTTTCTTAGATTTATGCACAAGGGTCTGGTTCTGCAGGTCTCCAATACCTTTTGGTCTTGCATCAGCACCTTATGTCTTCTGTAGAGTTGTTCGAGCTTTTTCTTGTCATCTAAATTCCTTAGACCTGTACACACATCATTATATGGATGGCTGGATTCTTCTGGCACCATCCCTTCAAGTAGCAGAACAACATTTTCAGATTCATCTTTCAGAAGCCACAAATGCAGGCTTCCTTATCAGACTGGAGAAATCTATTCTGTCACCAATGCAATATGTCATACATCTGGGTGTGTTTTTCAATACTCTTAAGTCGTGCTTCAATCAACTCCTATCAGGCTTCAAACCATGGAAATAGCCATCAGGCTTTTACTTATGTCTCCTTATCCTACTGCATAGATGGTTCTCTCTCTTTATTGGAGATGTGGGCATCTCTCAAGCCTCTCATTCCTTTGGGACGAGCTAATATAAGGTCCCTTCAGTGATCACTGCACGATCACTGAATCATGCTTTCTGATCCTTTGTATCATCCTGTCTCAATGCTCAGGAGCAACATTGTTGATTGCGAATGGTGGTTGGATCGTAACAACACTACTATTGGGGTTCCTATTCCACCACTTCATCCTAAGATCCATCTTTTCACAGAGACATCTCTTCAAAGATGGGGAATTTATCTTCAAGGTCAGAAGTTCCAGGGTATTTGGACAGGAGTCGAATCTACCCTCCATATCAACATTCTCGAACTCCTTGCAGTATACTGGGCAATGGCTCAAGGTCTGTCTTTTTTGAAGGGAAAAATTGTCATGTTACATTCTGACAATTCCACGGTGGTATGTCAGATTTCTCGTCAAGAAGGCACACATTCTTGAGACTGTTTTTGTACCTTGGATCTTCTCTACTGGGCTCATTCTTATCATATCAGTGTTTTAGCATGTCGTGTTCCAGGAGTGATAAATTTAATTGCAGATCACTTGTCTTGATCCAAACCAGATTCTTCTGACAGAATGGATGATGCATCACGATGTTTCTCAGTTTTGGTCTCCAATACCTCATCCTCAAGCATTGGCAGTAGATGTGTTCAGTCAGGACTGGACAGGTTTACATCTGTATGCTTTCCTCCTCCCCCCCTCGATTTGGCTATTGCCCTGGTTTCTGATTATGGTTTGCTCCACTCCCTATCGAGTTATCTTGGTTGCACCATATTGGCCAGTTCAAACATGGTTTTTTACTTCTTCAGTTTTTGCAGGTATGTCCTCCATCTACCTCTTCCACATTGGCAGTCTCTGAGACAACCTCAATTAGACATTCTCCACCCAGGTGTTTGGAAATTCAATTTTCTTGCTGGGAAGTTATGAGGTCCTTCACTTGTGGGTTTAACTTCTATGGTTTCTCTATATTTAGCTAAATCTCTTTATAGGCCAACCACAGCTGTTTATCAACGGAAAGGGAATACTTATTGTCAGTGGTGTCTTAAAAGGAATTTCAACCCTTTTTATCCTAAAGTATCTACCATATCCTGTTTTATGACTTGGGTATTTGACAGGGGTCTTTATACACTATTTTCTGTATTCCAAATATTGGAAGGTTTTTGAATCCTCAGTACTATCAGGTCTATTCAAAACCCCTCATATTCTTCTATCCAAATGACCTTTTCAATTACCAAATTGGGATTTTACAGTTGTTTTCCATGCATTGTCACATCCTCCTTTTGAGCCCTTAGCTTCATATTCTTTGTTTCACCTTTCTCTTAAATTGTATTTTTTTGTTGTTATTGGCCTGTGGACATCATTGGTTGGAGTTGTTTGCAATTCCTGTGTTTCGGATTCTTTATCATTTCACATTTGTCCTGCTTTTCCCCAATAGGTCCTTTCTGTCCAAGACTCTGACAGCTAGGAAAGAGGAAAATCCTTATCATCAATCCATTTGCCAGCCATTTCTCACCTTCATGACCACTCCAATCCTAAATGTTTGTTATGTCCTGTTAGGGTCCTCATGTGTTATGTAGCTCATAATAACTCATTTTGAGGTAGTAGGAATTGATTGTTCGTTCACTGGAATCCTTTTTTTTCCCATTACTTATCTCCCATTACCCTAATGAGGTGGCTTCATGAATTGATTCACGTGGCCTATGATGGATTATTGTTACAGAAGAGGAATCTTTTACTTGTCACATCTCACCAGATTTGTCATATCTCTGTCAATTGTCACCCAGTTGAATTGCTCTCTGGAAGACATTGTGCAATCTGGTACATGGATTACTCCTAATACTTTCCTATCTCATTTCTGCTAGTTTCCTCTTCTGAGGGTTTTTGACTAACTCCTGTAGCTATTTTGACCATGTTTTTTCTCTCTGATCAATGTCAGTTTTGTATATTGTTACTGGTGGTCCACTATCTTCTCATAATTCCAAACGCAATGTGGTCCCATCCTAAGTCCTTGGTTAAGCACAGGTTCTACGTCTTCTACATAAT